GTTTATATAATATGTAAATGTATATTTAACAAATTAATTAAAGTGTTGGCAGTTTGTTTTGTTTTAAATAATATGTCAAAGAGTTAAAAACAAGACATCAAGATGTAAAAGAAAAGATTCTCAACTTCTAGGGCAGAAATAAGCTCTCCCTGAAATTGTATGCTAAGTTTTATAAAGGTGGACAGAGAGTCTCCTAGACAGAAACAAGGCCTGTTATTGACAGTGCCCTTTTAAGTCTTTCAGTGGAATTTATAGATGAGTTAATGCAAGTACATATGGTTCTTACTTAGCCTTACGTAAGTGCAAGGAAAAGCTAGGATCCCTTTTAACGATTGAAAGGTTGAATGAATAGTTTATATCACATTAAAAGGTAAGTGGGAGGTAGGAGTGCTTATCTGTAAGTGTACTGAGGTACTGCCTTTATGTTCTTTTCTGGAGAGAGAAAATCTATGACTTTCACCACATTTAAACAGCATACTTGATCCTCATGGTAAGGAACCATTTTTTTTTTTTTTTTCCGAAACCGTTATTACAAAGGAAAAAACTGGCTTTGGTCTTGTTGCTTTTTTAAAAAGGGGGGGGGGATCCTCATATCCTTTCAGCAGAAGTTAGAATTCAGGGGGATACGTTTAATACAGAGTTTTTAAGATGTGTTATCAGTTGATAACATAATGACTTTCTGATTTGGGGCCTAAGTATTGGTATATTAGATTTGGATGTTAAATTTGGATTGTATATTTTGCTGTTATTTGCATCAAGTGAATTCTGACTCCTAGCAACTCTGTATGCAAATTAGAACTCTGCTCCATAAAGTTTTCCTTGGCATATTTTTTTGAAAGTACATTGTCAGTCCTTTCTTCTGAGGAGTTAATCTTTAGTGCATTGTAGAGTTTCCCTTTTTTCTTGATAGGCCTAATAGCCTTTAACTTTGTGAATTTTGCATTGTATAAATATATATTGAGGACCAGTTTGGAAGATATCCTGTCACGTTATCTGAAATTGTGGAAGAAAGTAGCGTGCAATTTTAAAGCTCTGATGATTAAAGCTAAGAATAAAAATACGCCATGGTATTTAATCTTTTTCAGTCCATTTCTACAGTGCATTTCTATAAAAGTAATTTACATGAATAGGTGGACTTTTGGGATTCGTGGTTTCATAATTTTATTGCTTCGATTAAGAGTTAAGTTGTGGTGCTGGTGGAGAGCGTTGAATATACCATGGACTTCCAAGAGAACAAACAGGTCTGTCCAGGAGTGAGTTAAACCAGGTTGCTTCTGGGAGATAAGGATTGTGAAGTGCCGTCTCACATACTTTTGACATATTGTCAGGAGGAGCAAGTCTTTGGAAGGGTAGAGGGTCAGCACAGAAGAGGAAGACTGTGGATGAAATAGATTGACCCAGTTAATGCAGTGATGGGGTTAGATTTGTCAGAGATGGTGAGGTTGGCTAAGGATAGGGCAGGATTCAGAGCCATTGTTCGTAGGATTGCCGAGTCCAGTAGTGACTCAAGTCACTATTAGGTACTAAGGTATCTGTTGTCACATAATTTTATTACCTGGACTAAGGAGCTCTGGTAGCCTTAATGGTAAGGAATTGCACTGTCAGCCCAAAGGCGCATGGCGAACCACCAGATATTCTGCAGGAGAAAGGCAATCTGCAATTTACAGCCTCAGAAAACCCATAGGAAAGTCAACTGTGAGTCAGTTCCAGCTGGGTGGTACACATCAACAAAGAGACACTCGCTCGCACTCTCAACTTTCTGGTGCAGCAGTGGTCCCAAATTTTTTTTTATGAAATACAGATTTAAAGAAAAAAGTGTTATAAATTATGTAGCTTGCATTACCAGTCTTTGTATACTTGTTTATGAACTATACATATGAAATACTATTACTGGAATACACAATAAAGAAGGAAATAAATAATTTTAAGTAGAAGCTTTAATGTTTCTCCGCTAGTGGAGGAGGCCACTTACCTTCCTGCATCACCACTAGGTGGCAGTGGTACCGTGACTACATCATGCTGTGGTCATGCAGCTAGCTGCTTTATTTCAGGGCATTAATAAGTTATCAATGTGCCAGACCTCAAATTGGAGCTTTTGGAAGACACTTTCAAATCTTCTAAAAAATTAAAATAAAAAAATCTCTGTGCCTTAATAGAAATTAGACCATTAGACAGGCAGTGGCCAGGACTCACTTTTAAAATTTTCATTTTTTAAAGCAAATATTTAAATGTTAGAACACCATTCCAATGATGTTTCCTAACTCCTTCAAATCCCAAAGTAAATAACTGTTGTCAACAGAAGTAATGTAGAACCTTATTCTTCAGAATGTGTGATAGATAAATCTTACTAAATTCTCAGAGTTGTTCTAAGTATGATTTATGAAATGATCAACTGCTGGACTACAAACTGAAGGAACTGATAAATTGGTAAGGAAATAGTAGATAGCATTTGTAAATTTACAGTTCTCAGTCACCTTGGGGTTTGACTTTGTGTAAAGGGTAAGCTAATGAAAAGAAAGCGCAAACTAGGAGCTAAGATGCCGGAGTTCATCTTGGCCTGTCCCTAGTTGTGTGACTTCAGGCGGATCACCTCACTCTGCAAGTCCTTCATTTTTTAATCTGTAAAAAATAAAAAGTTTCGAAAAGAAATTTTTTGTCTAGTACTAATTTTCAAAACATCTCTATAATCTGGATTTTCCCAAATCTATTTAGCAACTCTTTTAACAAAGACTTAGGAAATTCACCTCTACTAACCCTAGCGCGGTGATCCTAGAGCTTCATAAATTGCTTGACAAATGTGTAGATGTACTCTCCATGGCTGATTTTGGAGTAGAGAAATGAGCGGAAACTATACATATAAATAAAAATGGTTTTGATTGTTTTCTTCTGAAAACTATTATGGTTTACGCATGTACGCGTGAGTGTGTGTGTATGTAAGAATGTGGTTGCTCTCATACAGGTGCTGTAAGAACATCTGTTTCCAAAACTATGAGATATCCTCTCACCCCAGTCAGAATAGCAAAATTTAACAGAACAGCAAACAGCAAATGCTAGCGAGGTTGTGGAGAAACTGGAACCCTTATTCACTGTTGGTGGGAGTGTAAAATGGTGCAACCCCTGTGGAAGGCTGTATGGCGCTTTCTCAAAAAGTTGCAAATAGAGATACCATTTAACCCAGCAATTCCACTCCTGGGAATATACCCTGAAGAAACCATAACCATGTAGTAATCCTACTTCAAAAATAAATTATTTTTGTTAAGTGTGGCTGTCCCAAATTTTATCCATTTCTTCATACTATTTTGGCTTTATTTTCAGGTCCTAACCTACCCATGGCAACGGTCGATATAAAAAATCCAGAAATCACAACAAATAGATTTTATGGCCCACAACTCAACAACATCTCCCACATCAAAGAAAAGAAGAAGGGGAAAGCTAAGAAGAAAAGATTAACTAAGGCAGATATAGGGACGCCCAGCAATTTCCAGTAAGACAGTCCTTCTGTTCCCTTTGTTTTGATTTGCTGCTCTTGATTCCTAACAAAAATTTAAAATGTTTACCTTTCTTTTTGAAAGGACCCTTCTATTCATAGCTTATATACTGTTGGAGCTATACATGTTAGTATAATTTTTTAAAGCATTATCTTTATAAATATTCTATGTATCTTAGTTTATTAATTTTTCACTTCCCAATAAATAGTTATTTCTAGCCTTTTCCCTCCTCTAGTATCATGTGGAAATTAAATAAAGGCATCACTCTTGATATTTATACATTTTTCAATCATTTTCTTAAGCTTGCTTAATTTGCTCACGGGAAGATTTTTTACCCTTCAGTGTAATGCATGTAATCTCTTTATTTTTTTTTTTAAGACTCTCTTTTTACTCACAGTTATGGGACTTATTAGGGAAACAGGGTGAGAGGAAAAGGATGTCAAGTAGTCAAAGTCCAGGTTTAAAATACAGCTGTCCCAAAACAGGTTAAGAGCAAGAAACAATCCTTCATTTAGTTCAGACAGCTTCTCAGTAAACAGCAAGATAGTCTCTCACCTGTCAAGCATCTTCTTAGTTAACAGCAAGATACCTCTGGGGCAGGAATCTTGGGCTCCAAAGGACGTGCGTGGGTTTTTCTGCTGCTTTTTTCCTGGTTTGCACCTCCAAAGAGTTCTGGCCCTTGCTGCAGTAGGCTATGCCTTGCCACAGTCTCTATAGTCTCAGTAGCTCTCTCGCTCTCTTTAAGTTGATCTCACAGTAGTTTACAATGTTGAAAAAGTTGATCAGTTGCAAACCAAGTGTCTGTAGTTGAGGTAGTAATGCATGTATTATTATGCTAGGCTAACAGAGAAGCGTTTATTTCCTTCTCAAATTGTAAAAATGTTAAGAATCATTTACTAGTAGAGCTGACCCTAGCATCTTATCCTCTTCCTTGGTTTCCCTGTCTACTTCTCCTCCCCACCAAAAACATGGCTACATCTGTGAGAACTGAGTACAAGCAAAAAAATTCAAAGAATGAGTTGGATTTCTGATGTACTGTTCTTAATGCCCTATAAACACTTGATTCTTTTTTTTTGTTTTTCTGTCATCTACTCCAGGCATATTGGACATGTTGGTTGGGATCCCAATACTGGCTTTGATGTAAGTACCTTTTCAAGTCATGAGTATGATTTTTCTAAATATTGTTATGTCATGTCTTTAGATTTTTGTTTGATGGACTCATTTTTGTGAGTTCTAATGCTTATTTGAATAAACTGTGTCTCAGTCTTGAAGGCAGTGAAGTTTATGTGTAAATGCCATTTAGGCTTGTCAGCCATTACTAACTTTACAAAGATACAACTTTGTAATCTTCAATTTTATATAATACTTAAATAAAAGTTGTTTTGAAGCCAAAGAAATTATTTTTAGTAAATGATAACTTTATAGACATAGCCAAAAAACTTGGAGGGTAGGTACTAGCATAATATTGTGATGATCCAGTTGTTGAGTTAATCTAGATTCTTTTAGTTTCTAGTTCTTTTAGCAATTTCATAATTTATTAATTTAGAGCACTATGAAAGGTAAAATTTTTGACAAAATAAATGTATTTAAACGTTTTCTTGTTTTGTTACCTAAGTTATATGTGTTTCACATTTGGTGAACAGTCAGTTTGGATAAATTATTTTGAAGAGAAACGTTATTTGTGATTATTAGTCCTTCTGTTAAAATTGTAAATCCAGAAACATATATCGAGTGCCTATTTGTACTGTGAAGGTACAGAGTACTTGGGAATACAGGAGTCCTTATTATTAAGTGGATTTTCTTTTTTGTGTTTTATATTTCTACCCAGATCTTAATACTTCTTTTTGTGTATCATCATGGCAGAAGTAACCCATGGCTGACCTTCCAGTAGGTTTTCAGAGGCACTGAATCACACGGACAGAATTGTCCATTTGTATCCTGTAGAGCAGCTGGTAGATTTGAACCAGGTGCCTTTGGGTTGGCAGCACAGCTCCTTACCACTATATCACCAGCACAGTTGTAAAAGGAGCAGCTGTTATGTGAAGGTCACTGAGTCAGACTTCTCCTGGCTTCATAAAGGGAAACTGTCCCATCAATAATATCAATAGCACCAAAATAGCTAAAAGGTCAGACATGCCATCCCCTCATGCTCCTACACCTTTTGCTATCAAATATTAGGTCCAGTGTTTGTTGCAAGACTCAAAATTTTACTAACTTAATTTACTAAGAGTTGTAGAATTTGTTAGGGAAATAGGTTGGGGCTGGTGGCAGGGGGAGGCAAAGAATGTCTCACAGTGCAAGTCCAGTCTTAGTCCAGCAGTCCTAAACCAGACAGAATTCCTCAGTTAGTGAAACATAGCCTTTTAGTCAACCAGTGAAAGTCTAAGTTGAGTTGAGCAGCACAAATGCATGAAGCCTCTGTTTTCCTCAATTATCCAGCAAACTTTATCTCAGAGTATTTACAAGTCACCTTTTCCTTCAACCATCCAGTAAGCAAATCCTTTAACTGCAGCCTTTATCCCCAGAGTTCCTCTAGTTACACCTTGCCACAGTCTCGTCACATTCCACCACCATCTTTCACAGTGTTTTCATAGCCCCTCCTCCACCATCTCTCATAGTGTGGAAAGTGTTCTCTTAAACTGGTCCCACAGCTGTTGATGATTTTCAAGACCTTGTGTCTGTGGTTGAAGTTAACTGGAGACCATGCCCCCAATGGGTGCTAACATAATGGCTAGAAAACATAATTTTCAAGGGTCTGACAGCCCAACAGTAAAATAGAGGAGCACTGGAAGTGCTTGATTCTTGAAGGAGCTAGAGAAAGTCTATAAGATGCAGAGGAAAATAAAAGATGAGGTAAAATACTAAGTCTGCTTGTTCTTTCTTGTTGGTTTTGTTTGCTTTTTAATATGATTATGTTACATTTTATTTTGCTCATGTTTTAAAAATTGTCATGGATATTTTATGTTACAGTTGAATAATTTAGATCCAGAATTGAAGAATCTTTTTGATATGTGTGGAATCTCAGAAGCCCAGCTTAAAGACCGAGAAACATCCAAAGTTATATATGACTTCATTGAGAAAACGGGAGGTGTTGAAGCTGTTAAAAATGAACTACGAAGGCAAGGTAAGTTTTAGTTTTGTTTAGGCATGCTGATCTTTTTTTTTTTTGTTTTATATCTTTTGTAGTAACCATTTATCGGCTGCTTATTTAAATGAAATTGTAAGCAGGATGCTTGAATGTGTGGATAACTAATTTGGTCCAGTTTATTTTTGTAAAACTAAAACTTGACAATTTTGTGTATTATTAAAAGTTCTGTATTGACTTGTTAAAAATTCATTTAAAATCTTCAGTTTTAGAATTTTAAAAAATATATTTCCTAATTAATTTACTTACTGTTTTTGTTATTTACCTTCAAGTCACCAACTCAAAGCTGGTTTTCATAGGCTGTAAATTGCACAGATGATTGGACCCTCTCCCACAGAGAAGCTGGTGGATTTCGAACCTTGTCCTTTTGAGTTCCCAGCTACACCTTACCACTAATCCACCAGAGCTCCCTAATGAACCACCATCAAGTAGTTTTCTTTGTAAGTCAGCAATCTTAATGTAAATATAATCACTCTCATCAGTGTCATCAGGAGCCCGGATGGCACAGTGGTCAGAACCCTCAGCCACTAACCCAAAGGTGAACAGTGCAGATCCATCAGCGGCTCTATGAGAGGGACCAGTCTGCTTCCAAAAAGATTGACAACCACGGGAAACCTATGAGGCAGTTCTGCTCTGTCCTGTAGGGTCACTGTGGGCTGGGATTGACCCAGAGGGATGGGCTGGGGTTTTGGGTTAATAAGTATTGTAAAATCCCTGCTGTCATGGTAGCTAAGCTGTCACCCGCTCCTCTGAGCTAAAAAGATGTGGCCATTTACATGGGCAGTAAGTTTTTAATTAATATTGAAAATACTTTGAGAAGAGAAATAATATAAATCTATTATTTTTTTAAATACTTTATTTTTAAGATAGTATAACATTTGTTTTGGTGCCGGAAAGCTATGGAATAATCATCTCTTTCCCACTTTATCCTAATTTGGAATTACTCTTCCTACTTTCTAGTTTTTACTTAGTCATAATGAAAACAGAGCTGAGCAGAAACTCCAGCCAATCTAAGTAGATTTCAGATTTTCATTTTCCTTTATCTTTTTTAATTGCTTAGTGAGTTTGTTGTTTGGGTTGTTGTTTTGTTCTTTTAAGGTAAAACAGTAAAGATGGACTTGTTGGAAAGTTATATCCTCAAAGGACAGACTTCCCTTCTTAAAAAGAAATATAGAGGCCTTTAAAAAAAAGCTTAGTATTTAACTAATATTTTGATTCATATTTGCAATAAGTATGATTAAGCCAACATCAATCTCTATTCAGGTCCTTTGGATGAAATGATAGATTTTGGTTCTATCTCCAGAAACCTTGTATACAGCCTCATATGAAAACAGATAAATAAAAATAAGGTCACAACTGCTATTGTGGAACTACAGTACTAGTTTCACTGACACTGTGCTAATTTCTCCTGCTTTATGACAAAATTGCATTTCCAATTTCTGTGGGCTTTTGTTAAGCACCTTGGCCATAGCACCATTGTTCTTTATAAATCCTCCCAGAGTCAGTCACCGTGGTTGAGGTACAGACTGTGGCGGGTCTTGAGGATTCTCTGTTCTTTGACTCTCCTTTCTCACTGCTAACACCACCTTGCATCCCCAAATAAAGCTTAATAGCTGACTTCTCTGAGCTGTCTAGATTCAGGAGTTTAAAACTATTTTGGGCATATTGCACCAGGCATACTGCTTCCTCTCACCTGAGTGTAAGTTGGGTGTAACTGAATGTTGGTTAGATTAACTTGATTGGACTGTTATTTATGCTTTTGTGTTACAGATTAAAACATCACATTATGCAAGACCTTAATTGAATTACCTAAATTGAAAATGCACAGATATTTTAAGAAATAAAGTGCTCTTCAAGCACCTAACTCTTAAGATACCAAAGAATGCTTTTAGGGACTACAGGCATTTTTTTGTTTGTTTTTCTTTTCCCCACAGACTAACTAAGAACAAATTAATGATTTATTAGAGAAGTGTTTTCTAGGTTAAGAATACATAAATTCATATGCAGAAGTATGAATTAGAGAGTTTGTGAAGAAAAATATGCTTTGTGAAATCTACTGAATTGAATTTCCTGAAATTGAGTTTACAGAATTATTTAATCAGATTTATTAAAAGTAGTCGTTGTGATTTCCAGCATATATTTTTCTTTGCTTGAAAGTGAAGTTCCTTAACGCCTAACAATCTATTCTGTAGGCCCGCCACAGTGGAGTGGTATGTATGTGGAATGTTATTTGACTCGAGTGCTTTAAATTATGCATGTTTTGGTGTGTTGGTTTTCAAAGGAATTAGAGTTCATGTAGCTTGACTCCAGATCTAACATCTAGTAAGGTTTTTGCCCTCTTCTCACACTCTTGGTCATCTAGCTAGATGCTCAATTTGCGTCAGCTCAGATGGATCTATGTTTAGGTAATTTTGTTGAAGATCTACGGATCTTTATAAAACACTTCATGCTGATAGCACCATTATTTTTATTACTATTTAGTGAACTGTCTTATAGCTTGCCTTGTTTTATGACTGCCCTTGACGTCACGGAGCATCACAGAAAGAGCGTTGTTGTTTTTTTTTAACAAATTGAAGATTTGTGACTAACTCTGCATTGTATAGTTCCACCATTTTTCCAACGAAAGTGTGCATTTTACAGTATTCTAAGCTTTCTCATAATGCTATTGCATATGTAATTTGTTCTACCATTGAGTAGTGACCAACTCATAGCTGACCCTTGGTGGACTCTCAGAGGCAGTGAATCGGCTTGAGCAGAGATCGCCTGTCTTTCTCCCTTGGAGCTGCTAGTGGAGTCAAACCTTGTACATAAAGTAAAAGTATAATTGAATTTTTAAATTTACCTCTTCTTCAGAGGATATAACATTTTGCAAATTCTATAAAACTGTATGTCCTTTAAATAGAAGTTACATTATTTCATGATCACTGCTTATACTTCTTAAAACTATTGAGAGATACCTACCAGTTACTTGTTCTGTTAGTATTGATCAGAACCAGTCAAATAATGACATATTTCCGAAAAGACATCAGCTTTTTTTGGTAGAGTGGACCCAGACAAGCATATTTCTTGTCAGTTTTCACGCTTTCTTTTTAACTAAACTTTAATAGAGCAGTTTTTTATTTGCTTTAATTTTTGCTGATTTTTTTTTTTTAAGTAAGTCTTACTGTTGTCTTTCTGATTCTAGAATGTGTGATGACTTCCATAGCTTGAACATCTGTCTGCAGGCTCCTCTCTGACTGTGTTGTGCTAGCGTGTGGTGTCTGCGTAGTGAAAGTCACTGCGCATGGAGACCTACCTCCATGCCATCTATTCCCCCTTCTCTCATGGCCCTTCTTTCCCCTGTCAATTTATGATAGTGCAGTTTGGGAACACGTTCCTGTTTAGACATCATGTAACTATAGAAATTAAAGTTGGTATTTATTGGAGTGGATATTTTGACTACAAGTTGAGAAAAAGTTCGATCTACTGAGGAAATATGTTATATACCAAGATTGTGTCAAAAGTCTTTAGTGAAACTATGAGGAAAAAACCTTTACTGTATTTTCATTTTACAAATTACAGGCTCACAATTATAATTCAGAACATAATGCAGGAAACTAGTGTAGGGTATGAGGTCACGTAGTTGGGAAAAACAGTAAGGAAAATCTGTGTCGTTCACATTTACAGCATGCTGTTTGCTTAAAAATGTGCTAATACTTGTGTAATTAAATTGAGGGATTTTTTTATCCCTATCTATAATAATCAAACCATCAAAGTTCAAATCTAGAAGTTTCCTGCTTTGGATACAGTGAGAAAACTGAGAGACCTTTGACAGCAGCTCCAAGACTCCAGTACCCCTTGAGCCTAAGGCTTAGAAGAGCTGCATTTAGTGGCGGTCTCTGTATCTGCATGGGGCGAACTCCAGCTCGGCGCTGTGTGCTCCTTTCTGTGGGCTGGGTTAGTTCCCGTGTGATAGTAGTCCTGCCGTTTCCAATGTTTATCCTTAATGGTAAAGTTTTATAGTCTCATTCTCATAGATTGTCCGAAATGAAGTCCAAAGGTCCCATTTTATACCCTGTGAATGAGAGTGCTTTCCTTCCTTTGTGTTAGTCCATTTTTTAGCATCTAAACCTGATATTACGTAAGCTATATTCTTTTATTTGCTCAAGTTGGGTAGAAATAGCCATCAAATTGCTGGTTTTAAATCCAGAGCAAGGAAGCCATAGAACAAGATACGATGGTTTGAATCCACCAGCTGCTCCATGGAGAGATGGGCAGTTAGCTCCTGCGTGATTGAGACAGTCTCTGAAAACTAGATTATTGTTGTTGTTTACCGGCAGGTCAGAACCGACCCATAGCTGACCCTCCAGCGGGTTTTCAGAGGCAGTTAATCACATGGGAGGAGACTGCCCATCCTTCTCCCACATAATACTTCGAACAGCGAGCCTTCAGGATTGCAGCCCAGCTTCTTGCCACTAGGCCACCAGAGCTTCCTAAAGACTAGGTGGAGGGTCAGAAAGTATGCATGTGTTCTGACTTCACAGCACTATCTTTGACATTGAGCCACTCTCTCCTGTTAGCCACTACTGATACTGCTGGCCACCATTCACAGATACAGTGCATTACCCTCTCTCACACATTGCCATGAAGTCACTTGATTGTAGCTGACCCTCTGGTGGGTTTTCAGAGGCTAGAATTCTCACTGAAGGAGATAACACTTCTTCCTGCTAAGGAGCAGCTGGTGGATTTGAAGCACTTGCCTTGGAGTTTGGCAGCACAACTCCTTACACATGACCTACAAAACCCACAACTTAGTTGGGAGGAGAACACAAGTATTTTCCACCTGTAGAGAGTGGTCAAAAAATGGTAAGAGCACACCCTGTCAAAGGTGGAAAACTTAGAGAATTGGGCGGGAGGGGAGCCCTGCTGTCATAGATTTCAGCTGTATAAAATAAGTACAGATTTCAACTAGGTGACAGAGGTTATATTTTCAAAGAAAGAGCACTGTATGTGAATGTTGATGTGAATAAATTCTAATGGACTAGCTTGCTTCATTAATGATTTTATTCCAAAAGTGAATTTATTATGAAGAATTACAAAGAAAATTTAAACTATTTGCAAATAAAATTATAAAATATCGTGATGCTTAGATATGTCCATAATATCAAGTGCGGAAGGGAAGGCCTTTTTGCTTGCTTGTATTTTTTTGGTTCTTGTGCATGTAACATAAATTGTGTTTTCAGTTTGATGCCTGTAAGAGGACAGCTTGCATTGTTTCTCTCTCTTTTTCAGCACCTCCACCTCCACCACCATCGAGGGGGGGGCCGCCCCCGCCACCACCCCCTCCACACAGCTCAGGGCCCCCTCCTCCTCCTGCTCGGGGGCGAGGGGCCCCTCCACCGCCACCTTCAAGAGCCCCCACCACAGCACCGCCGCCACCACCTCCTTCCAGGCCCGGTGTGGGCGTCCCCCCACCACCACCTAATCGGATGTACCCTCCTCCACCTCCAGCCCTTCCCTCCTCCGCACCTTCAGGGCCACCCCCACCACCTCCACCTCTGTCCTTGTCAGGAGGGACGGGAACAGGGGTGCCGCCCCCACCGCCTCCGCCGCCACCTCCACCTGGGCCACCACCTCCCCCTGGCCTCCCCTCCGAAGGCGACCATCAAGGTCCACCTCCTGCAGGAAGCAAAGCAGCTCTTTTAGATCAAATTCGAGAGGGCGCCCAGCTGAAAAAAGTAGAACAGAACAGTCGGCCAGTGTCCTGCTCCGGAAGGGATGCGCTTTTAGACCAGATACGACAGGGTATCCAACTGAAATCCGTAAGTAAATCATCCACACAGGGGACCTTTAAAATCAATCATTCGTATTCCATCTTGGCAAGCTGGGTTTTTTTCCTTCAATATTTTTCTTAGCTCTTTATTTTTCAGCCCTACCTTTTAAAAATAGGTCAAGTGCACAGATTTTAAGTTCCCTTTTGGTAAGTAGCTATGCCTTTGTAACCGCAGTGCTCTGTCCCATGTACTTTGAAAGCAGCTATGGACAACAGCTAAAACTAATGGGCATCATTGTGTTGTTATGAAACGGTTTCAAATTGTTTTGCTTTCAGGTTGTAGAAAGGCCGAGGGCAGTGTGTGTTTGGACCTTGGACAAGTCTAGTCTGAAAGCCCACAGTCTCTTCATTCTCAGTGGAACGTTCTACAGGGCTTGAGACAGATTGGATGGTACCTGTATCTATAAAGTGACTAGGGATAAAAGAAGGAAAATCCAATTGAAAATTATTTTAAAACTTACAAAACTCAAGTAATCTTTTCAAAAGAAAAGATTGTGAGGAGTGTTTGACTGTGAGGAGTGATAGAAAATGGCTAATTTAATAAAAAGAGTTAAACTTTAGAATCACTCAAATCCAGGTCACTGCCATCAAATCAGTCTCTGTGGGATGTGACTGTGCACCTTTCTCACTTGGAGAGGCGGGTAGATTTGAACTTTTGGAGACACAGAGGCTTTTGGTTCACAGCTCAGAATGTTACAGACTGCAGATATACATGCAGCTTCTGCTCTTTAAATCTTATCTGGTGTTCAGAATGATGCTTAACTGGCCCAGCAACAGTATCTCTGCCTGCTTACTGCGCGAAGTCAGACCTCAGAAGGGGTTTCTTAGGAGTCGTGAACAGTGGTGAGGAGGCAGGTTACTGTGAGAAGGAGCACAGCCCAGGTGGCTAGCAGGCCCTCATGTCTTTGTATTTTCAGCTGACTTCAGCAGCTGTGCTGCTGCTTGTGTTCCTCTCATTCCCGTCTCTCCCACATCTGACTTCCCTTTTTCTCCTCACCCTTTTCTAGTCCCTCTCCACAGCCAGTTTTTCTTTCTTTCTCTCATGGACCTACAAGATGTTTTGTTAGTCTTAATACATAAAGTTGTATCCTCTTTTCTTCAAGTGATGACTTACATTTCCTGTTTACCCTCCCCAGCCCAGGTCCCTCCACAGATGAAAGCAAGTGAACAAAAAAATCCTGTAATCTGTTCTCTGTAAATTCTTTTTTCTTTCTTCTTTATTATTTTTGTGTAAGTGTACCGTCAAATTAGATTTGACGGGTGCAGGAAGAGATGGTCCCTCCTTTCCTGGCAGAGCATCTGGTGGATTATAAATTCTCTTTAAGAGGGGAAACATATTTTCCATTCTGGAATAGAGAAGTAAACAATTTTTATCTAAAATAATAATTTTCCTTTTGACTCTTCCAAGAGTTTTGTCATAGAAGACATGGCCATCAGTTATAGTTGGCATATTATATATCTGATCTAAAGTCCTACGGTTTATTTATTTTAAAATAAGTACTCAGCGGTTGATATTTCTGTTTCTTTGGATTTTATGTATAAATCACCAGTTTGTTCTGTGATAATATGTCTGCCATAAACCCACTGTGTTACTTTAAAGAGTGAGTAGCATTTGAGCCAGAGCCTGTGGTGATGAAGGCAGAAGTTCAAGCTGCTTTGAAGGAAATAGCAAAAAATAAGGCCCCCGGAATAGATGGTATACCA